CACACACGCCACGCCCACCACCGCCGCCAGGTACGTAATATACAAGTATACACATGATATGCGTCACGTTGAAATACAATTATAAATCTGTTTATAACTAGCTGTATAACAGCAAATATAGCCATACAGACAGATATAATACCTTTCTAATGTTGAAAGTTGTTTTAAAATCGGTTAGTAGTTACGTTACTCAAAATCATGCAAAAGTAGAAATGTTTCCTCGTTATATTACAAGTAATAACTAAGTCAAAATATGTATATGTACAAATATGGCAAATTGATTTAAGCACAAAATTTGTATGTAAAGTGTATGAATACTACTTACATATAAATCCAAAATTATGGATAGATGTATGGATGTTATAACTTGACAATAAAAACAAGCATGAGGTGAAATTTAAAATTCATAAAGTACAGTCAGCAACAAAAAAGCGCAGTGTTTTTGTTAACACCGTTCGATCTGCCACGACAGTCTAGAAAGAAAAACATAAATTAGTACACTTGGATTAACACAACTTTTTTTTTCATAATGTTTTTTTTTAAACATTCCAGTAGGAGTAGTGGTTGGGCAACACTGACGTCGAGCAACGCGTGGGCAGCTCGCAGCCAGCCAGCGCGCCAAGACAAGATTGATTACTTCGATAACCCGCCTGAAAACTAAACTTTCCCGCCAGGTTATATTTACTATAGAATTTTACTGCACTAAAATTTCATCATTTTGTCAAAAAAAAATGATGGCAACGTTCATCTATACTTTTTAATATAATAAAGCGTAAATACAATTTTTGTTACGTAGATTGTCAGTAATCGTAGCATGTTTTTTAATTATAGTTTTTTTTAATAAAAATCCCTACACTTATGAAAGTCTGTACTGGCTGTACGCTTTTACGCTATCTAATTTATGTGGTGTATAAATTGAAAAAATACTAATTATAGGAACAAAAACTACAAACCAATAGCAGCAATGAAGCAAGATTGTTATGGTTACGGTAGATGTTAGTTAATGGCACAGACCTTGATTGCAAATTGTGCATTTGAAAGTTTTATAAATGTAAATAAAGAAATGTAATTTTTATAATTTGCGGCTTGAAATTATAAAAATTATATTATAAAGAACGGCTGATCTATACATATAGTATAATTGGAGTGTCTATTTGTAATATCAAAAGAAAAATTCCAGATTTCGGGGAGATGGTGTATTTGCGTTCCTGATAAAAAAAAATTTGTCTGTCTGTCTGTCCGCAAGCCGCGTTTGTTCCGGGTAATCTCCGAAACGGCTGGG